GATGGAAAGCCATGAGAATCTGAGCATACCTTAGCATTCAATTGCGTGATAATTTCCAAAGTTTTCAGTCCTATGATTTGTTTGTCAACACTCTCCGTCATCATTCCAGGTATTCCCAAACTTCCACTCACTATATCTCTTTCAATATATTCTTTTCCCCATGGCCGCACTTCTTGACTTCAGCTAACCTCTCTATTGATTGATCCTCATTCGAAGAAATAGCCTTGGGTGGTGAGATTCACCTCTAGTACTTCTGGTTTTTAGCCTTGCTTCGATCCTGCCCTAACTGCGCTTCTTCTCCAACCATTATGTTTCTTGATTGCTGAGCTCATCCATGCGACAACACTTGGGTGGGGAACCCCTATCTCCCCTCCTTCTGTAACCACAACTTTCCTTCCATTTCCATTTCTGCAACACATCAGGAAGTTTGGGGTGAGCCAATTCCTCCAAGGATTGGAGCTTTCTGTTGGGAAGCTATCTTGGGAAGATGTAACACATGTGACTTACTTCAAAGGAAAAGGCCTTATTGGTGTTTGTCTCCTCGTCCTTTAGATGGCCTAAGAGAAGGGGAAGGATTATGTGGAGATGTGTGAGGGCTGCTACATGCTGGACTTTATGGGAGGAAAGGAATTCCAGAATTTTCTCTGAAAAGGAAAGAAGCAAAGAAGGAATTATTGAAGCCATAACAGTTAGGGTGGTGCATTGGCTAAAATCTGTGAAACTTTTTATGATGTGTCTATTGATAATGTTGTTTTTGATAAATGAATGAGATTTATTAATCAGCAGAGGAGAAATAGTACGATGTCCCAAGGAGAGGCACGAGATGCAACCTCTCCTGGTTAAGTACAGCTTCCACTATATTATAACAACTTACAAAGTAGCACAAAAAAGGACCTCCCTGGATACCCCCTGTTTAGCCAGAGAATCAGCCATAGTATTGGCTGACCTACTTACCCATTTTACCTCAAATCTCATGTTCCTAGTTAACCACTTTACTTTTTTGATGAGTTCTTTGCAGCCCCAAATGGTAGCATCCGGGTTAAGCAGCCACCTTGTTACCACCTGAGTGTCCCCTTCAACTAGGAGATGCTCAACCCCAAGCTGGTTAGCAATCTGAATTCCTTGTACTGCAGCTAGTATTTCCGCCCTCGTAGAGTCCCCCACTCCCACTGGTCCTGAGAATAAGGAGATGATGTTGCTGTCCTTGTTCCTCGGGACACCCCCAATACCTGATGGCCCAGGGTTACCTTGGCTGCTTCCATCAAAATTTAACTTGATGATACCTTTTGACGGTGGATCCCATTCTGATAAGCGTTTGTTCTTCTTTGTAGAATATTAGCTATTACTAACCAATTACTCCACAAATCATCAAAAGAGAAATCATCGAATATCTCCAAGGTTTTCAGCCAATGTATTGCTCTTGTTAGAATGCAGTCCTTCACTTCTTCTAATCTTCTTTCCTTCTCTAAGAAAACTCTTGCATTCCTTTCCTCCCATAGTGTCCATAAGGTTGCTGCCCTGACACATTTCCACAAGAACTTGCCTCTTCTAGTGTGCCAAACAAAAAAAGAAGGGTTAAATAACATACTCAAATCAGTTGGCAGAGACCACCTCCCTCCAAATAAACTAAGGCTCCAACTCCATAAGTCTGTAGCAAGGGAGCAGGAAATCAGCAAATGGAAACAATCCCCATTCTAGGCCTTGCACAAGAAACACCAATTCGGGGAGAGACATAGAGAGGGTCTCTTTTTCTGCAAGTTTTCCAAGGTATTGAATATCTGGGTGGAAGTGGCTAATTCCGCTTGGGCTCAGCCTACAGTTTCTCCTGTGTGGTCACCACCTAACAATGGCTTTATAAAGCTAAATTTTGATGGAAGTAGTGAAGGTAACCCAGGCCCTTCAGGTGTGGGAGGTGTCTTCAGAGATGAGGAGGGGAAAGTATTGGCATTGTCTTCAGGCTCCATTGGGATTAGGGATTCTTTGAGAGCTGAGATCTATGCTGTATTGGAAGGTATTAGAAAGAGCAAGGAACTGAATATACAAAAATTAACTATTGAAGGGGACTCAAAGTTGGTGTTGAGCTGGATGCAGAGGGGAAGTGGCCTTTGGAAGTTCACTAATGAAAGAAAGGAAATCAAATGGCTAACTAGGGGGATGGAAATACAATTCCACTGGGTGAAAAGAACAGCAAATGCCTTTGCAGATGCTTTGGCAAAGCAGAGTGTGGGAAGGGTTCATTTGTACTGGGCTGTATTGTGAGCTTTTTGTTGCTTTCTTGGGAGTGTTAAGCCTTTTTAACTCTCTCTGATTGCTGTACTGTTGTTATATATATATATAATGAAATTCTGTTATTGATCCAAAAAAAAAAGAAAAAAAGGCAATCCAGACCCAAACCAATCATTCTTTGCTTCTCCCTCCTCCCTTCGATCATTTCTAGCTGAATGGAGCCTCACCCCCTTTGAGCTGAGAATTCCATTTCCAAAAATGCCCATTGCCACTCAAAACCATCTTCTCCGGTTCCCCCCCTTAAAATCTTTACCTGATTTATTAAAGAAGTGAACCCCACTTCTACTTTTAAACTTAACTTTACCTCCTAATGCCTGCAACTTCTCTTCCCCCTTCCCTCCCACTCCCCGACTCTTGGGCTTCCACTGATTCACATTCCTGCCCTCAAAGTGTCTTCCCCCACACAATCATACCCTCTTCAGGCTTCAGCCACGACTCTCCTTTGTCCATAGAGACACCCACCTAATCCTCTCCTTCTTTCAAAAGACCCTTCCACTTCCCAGCCCCTCCATCTCCACTCCGATCCACATGGCACATTTTCTTCTACCTGTCAATATCTCTACACCTGCCGGGGACCACCAATCCAACCTCAAGTCATACTCTCTACTCTTCAATTTTTCTGACTCCAGAACCCATCCTGCATATTGTCGACTGTGAAATATGAATAGCAGAAATCTTGCATTCTTTCTTACTCCCATGACCTTCTCCCTCCCCCATTCCATCCCTGCCCATGCTTCTAATTTCTCCACGTCCATTTCTTTTCCCACAACTCTGCTTACCAGGCTCGCCTGCAGAACTCTCATTCTTTCTTCCATCTACCCAACCCTCCTCACATCAACAACCACCTTCATTCTCTTCCCAATTCTTGATACATCTTCATTCCCAAGGATCCTAGCCATTAGTTTTTGCAACCAATAGGGTTCCATGTGAATGCATCTTTTAAGTGTTGCCCATCGACTTTGATGTCCAAACGAATCGAAACTAAATTCTCAGTAGTTGGGATTCTGAACTTGATAGGTGGCTTGGAAGCGACTGTAGTTCAACCCTTTCTCAGCAATTGGGATTCTAGATCCCTTTTCTCCAACTCCATAAAAGTTTTTTCTAGCAAACTCCTCACCCTGCAAGGAAAAAAGGCCCAATGTTTTACTTATCTGAACTTCCTTTTCAATTATCTTCTCCAAGTTGAATTTCTTCTCATCTTGCCTCTCTTGATCAAAATAAACCTCGTCATCTTCCACTTGCATCTTGGTTACTTCCTCAATACCTTCCAAGTCTTTCCCTTGAACTCCTACACCTGCCTTCTTAGGCAAAACCAATTTTGAATTTGCCATCTTGTTTTTTTTTTTTTTTGAATTTGATCGGGTTTCAAGTTTTTTTCTTCCAACCCTACGACGACAGATGTTGTCCTTCACACCCTTCCTCTCATACACCCTCTTAAACTTCTTTCATGGGCCTGCCACATGTAGATCATCTTTCAAGTGTGAGAAAACCTTGGTTACACCAACCAAATGAGATTTTTTATCCTTTTTGTCTTCTTGTTAGAACAGTGCTTTAACCTCTTCTCCTAGAGTCTCCACAGTTTTCACCACCACTCTTCAAAAACCCTTTTTAAATCCTTACCCAGGTCACCCTCACTATTGTGACAAACCTAGAAACTGTCATCAAGGTAAAACTCTTCTCCTGCAAAACTGTTCTAATTTTTTCCCTCAAAACTGTTCCAATGCAATTTTCATTTGTTTTTTTTTTTAACTCAAAAGGAAATGAACCTCTTCACAATTGTTCTGGTCCAAGTGTCTATTGATTGGACCACTATGGAGTAATTTAGCACAAGCTGTCTCATATAGACAAGGAGAAAGCTGACAAGGAAGCTAGCCGTATTAATGAAGAAAGCCCGATAACTTGACAGAGGAACAAGGTTCATGTATCTAACTCCAACTAGTTGGGATAGGGCTTAGTTGAGTTGTTACAACTATTTCAAAACTGTCAAAGTCAGGTAGCTCAAGGACACCAGTTGATATACTACATTCACAAACAATGTACGACAAAGGATCCAAATTGTAAGAGAAAATCTTTTCTCCTCATATAGATAGTGTTCTTATGTACTCTCCAACAAGAAGTGTATGATGTTCGAACTGAGTAATTTGAAAGTCAATATCATCCAACCAGTTTCATTATCATTTTATCTTACCTACATGGAATCAGCTCCATAAATCATTTCGTACACTTCACTCTCTCCAGGACCACATTTATTGACAACTAAGCAAATTGATAAAATTTTGCGGTACTTGCATATATGAAGCTGACCCCATATAGTTGTGATGAGGCTTAGATGATGATGATAATGATGATGATGTACATGTGCACCATAATAAGTCATCTATCTAACTAGGATTTAATTAAGTTATATTTTCTTGGACAGTTAACACTACAAATACCATGACAGAGATGGCAACCACCTGTATGCTACTTAAAATATGTATTAAAGTTGGCTCCTTTGGTGTAGGTGGTGCAGAGAGTACATAATCTAGGATGTAATCAAACTGGTTAAATGCCCTTAATTTGGTGCTACAAATATGAAGTCATCTTAAACATCAACCCCAGATTCCCAATATTGATAATCAGGGTGATATCCAAAGAAAAATACATATCCTATATCTGGTGAACTACAGTATCTTCAAACAAAATTAGCATTGAAATTGTAATGAGATAAAGAAATCATTATAGATGAATTCGACAAAAAAGAATTCATTTCCATATATCACCTATTCTGTAGTTATAAGTTGTTCAAATAACAACTAGTATTTTCCTCACATTACAAATAAAAGAAGAAAAATCCAAAAGCCATGATTTATACAAGGAGAAAGAAATACAAAAATATCACAACTAAGCATTAAAGAAACATAATCTCCGGGACATCCGTATAACAGTAAATGAGAGAACCATAAGATACCAAATGAATTGTCAAGAATTGATATACTGCGACAAGCGAGCTGCCATGTTAGAAACTTGAGTCTGCATCTGTGTAGACCTAAGCTTTGAAGAAGTAGCACGATGGAAGAACTGTTCACGCGATAGCGACCTGATGCTCCTTAAGTACTGGTCAAAGGGAATTGATTCTTCCTGAACCGCTTTATCCAATGAATAAATGGCATCCTCTATAGCYAAATCTGAYGCACTGCATTCTAGCATCTGCTTCGAGAGAGCATCAATAGGCTCAAAAACATTATCAATATCCACTTTCCCTATGTTCGCCGTCTTCGACTCGTTCTCCCTCAACCATGCCTCCAAAATATCCGAATTCATCAGAACCATCTGTAATTGCTGCTCTAAACCCTCCTTCTCATCCTGCATCTCCCTCAACCCTTTGGAAAGCTGATCCTCCCTCTGCCGCAAAACCGCCTGGGCACTAAAAAGCCCTTCCATCTCGGCCTCTCTATTCTTCCTCAACGCATCGATGTCGGCATGTAAGTTACTCAAAAGTTTGTCAATCGCATTTCTCCGGAAAACCTCCGATTGGTCTTCCGTATGCTGCCGATGGTGCTGAGGCGACGGCGGGAGCCTCCCACCGTAGGGAGACAACGAAGAGTAAACCCTGGACGGAATCCCAGGACGAGCTGACGCCGACGAAGACGCCGAGATCACAGAAGAATTGTCAGGAGGGGTAGGGGTAGGGTTTGACGGAGGTGGCGCTGGTATTTGGCGGGTATAAAGAGGGGGGTCGCGACCGAAGACGAGACTGAGATTTCGGACCAAATCGACGAGATTGGAACTTGGGTAGATCCAATTCTGGAGATAAGGGAGGGAGACGAGGCCGGAAGGATTGACATGGGGGTGGGGGCGCTTGATGATCATGTCCCGTGTTGGAGCGACGTAGACGCAGGGGGGCTGGCGAGGGTAAGACTCCATGAGCCAGATAACAACAGGGATGTTATACATGACCTCCATATAGAACATGGGGATGGTGCCTTCGGCTTGGAGGAGATTTACGGTTCGGCCGTCGTTGTGAGTGAAGGTGGCCGTCTTGGGCTGGAGGCTGGGGTAGATGTTGACGAGGGAGAGGAGCTGTTGTCGGATTAGCCATTTAACGTCTTCAGTGTAGGGCAGAGCCGATGGACCACGCTGGGAGAGGACGCTGCTTAGGAATTGCTGGGTGAATTGGGTATTCTGCGCTGCTGCTCCGGCCATTGCCGATAACCACCGATCGATTTCTTGGTCACTGATCGATTTCCTGGTCACCGATCGATTGCAGATAACAACGGAGAATTATTGCTGAGCTTTGTTTATTTCCTGGTCACCGATCGATTTCCTTCGTGGGATGGATTTCCGTTGATGGCCGTAGGTGTAGAAAATTTACTAAGGCTGTGTTTGGTTTAAAGGAAAAATTAGGGAAAGAAAGGAAAAAGCAGGAAAACTTATAGCCTAAGGTTTTAAAGAAAGAAAAACGTAGGAAAATATATACAAACACAGCATAAAAGAAATGTAGAAAAATGTAAGAAAAGGTAAGGAAAGGTTTCCCTACATTTCCCTACCCTTTCCTACTTTTTCCTTTAAACCAACACAATGCATGGACTTTGTTTAGTGAAAGTAAAATATTGAAATACATAATAATAAACACATTTTTTTAACCACAATACATTTTTTCTATTTTCATTTGTAACATTATAAAATAATATCATCATAGGCAAGGCTTATAATGTTTAAATGATATAATTTATAATTTATATGAAAAAACAAATGTATTTTAAATACACTATAAACTAATTACATTTACTTCATGAAGATTACTAATAATTAGTATATATTTTCAAAAAGTAATTTTTATGGTTATATTTTTTTATTTTTGGTAATTTATCATATTTATTAGAAATCATGTTAATCCACTTTTTCTAATTTCTTGGATAATTTTTGGTAATTATGACAAAATTTTTGGTACTTTATTTTTGGTTATTTTCTTGGCTATTTTTTGTTCATTAAATGTAATTTTCTGCTATTTATAGCTTAAATCATATTTAAATAAATAATTTAAATATAAACACTTTTAATTACTATTTATAATTTAATTATATTATTATAGTTTCAAATATAATTTAAATAATATTAAAATACAATTTAAATTATAACTTGTATTAATTAACAATTTAAAAAGATGTTAATTAATGAATTAATAAAAAGTATTAATATTTTTAATAAATACGACATTTCAATAAACATTGTTAATTAATAAATACTAAAATTAATAATACTAAAATTATTGAAAATATTGCAAAATATGGTTAATTATTAATGATGTAGCGCGATCTGGTCACTCCTAGCTAGCAGGGGCCTCACTCCTACCTAGCAACGGACAACACCTAAGAAGGAGAAGAAGACGAAGGATTCCCGGGGAGCTCGCCCAGCGGGAACACTCCGATGCTTAAGTTAAAACTCGGTGGAGAGCCTAGAGAGTTGTAAAGGAAAATGAGCTAAGAGTGCAGATGCACACTTACTCCAAAAATTATCCCCTTGCCCCTTGGAAATTGGGGCCTTTATATACTGATGCTCTGTCAAATCGGGTGTAACCGCCTCTGATTCTCTGCTATGGCCGTTATTCGCCAGGCTGATTCGACTGGTGCAGGTAACCGTCACAGAGTACGGTCTTGTCAACTAAGAGACGTTATATAGATCTGGCGTGCACGACACTGCCTGACGTGAGACGTGGGCGTAGTCCTCTGGACTGGTAGGTGCTACGCCGCCAGACAAGAGACGTGGGAGCAGTCTGACAGGCACGGTCTTATCGGATAAGAAGTTTCCCGAAGACTCTGGGTTACTCAATAGCGATCTCCTTTGTAGCGAGCTCCAAGAGCGAGCTGTCTTGTAGCAAGTTGTTCTCCCCGTTCACGTCACTTTCTCAATTCATTTTTTTCTGGTGAGTCCCCTGTCTTGTCCAATAATGTTTGGGTACCCGTGAGACAGTAACCAGGGCGAGGTCCCCTCGAGCTCAGGGGGAGCTTGGGGTTTCCCCGAAGGGCGGTCTTTGGAGGCTCAGGAAGCCTCCAGTAACTTGGCTTCCACTTCCCGGGGTCGGGAGCCGGATAGCTTCAGCCCTTCCTCCATGTCTATGGAAAGACTTCAGGCCCTAGTCTTTCATTACAACCTCCCWAGGGATCTTATTTACAGCTTCCCATCCGGGCAACTATCCCTGGGAACATGATCACGACGAGATCGTGATTTTTGAAGAGCAGCTCGTGGCTGGTCTTCGACTCCCTCTACACCCTCTGGTAGTGGAGGTTCTTTCCCACTTCAATGTCACCATAGACCAACTGCACCCGAATTCTGTTCGGAACTTGGTGGGGACTATTTTCTCTGTTCTTTGAGTATTGTCTTCCTCTTTCCCTCGACACCTTTGTTTCTATACTATCGATCAAGAATGCCTCTCCCGGAGCCCCTCCAGAAAGGCCTCTTATTACTTTTCCCCCTGTCCAGGCTTTAAGCTCCTCCACGAGCTGCCTAACAGGATCCTAGCCTAGAAGCGGGGTTATTTTGTAGTTCGCAACCCCGAGGGGTGGCCCTTTCCGACCCACTGGAGGGCCGCCATTCAGGATCCGGGCGTTGAATTGGACCCGAAGGTTCGGGAAACGCTACAATTCTGGGCGGGGGGTCGGCTTTCTCTGTTTGGATTATTTGGCTGAGGACAAGCTCGTGCAGGCCGGCCTGAGCCCCGGTAGGTTACCTTTAGGTCGCCTTCTCTTTTTTTTTTTTTTTTTTTTTTTTTTTTTTTTTTTTTTTTTTTTTTTTTTTTTTTTTTTTTTTTTTTTTTTTTTTTTTTTTTTTTTTTTTTTTTTTTGCGAGTTGGACTAATGCCTTGTGATTCTTGCAGCCAACATGTCTGGTGTGGATGCACGTCGCCTGTTATCGAGCAACCAGAAACGTAGTGCGAAGAGGTCGCGTCCTGACCAAGCGTCCACTTCTGGGGCCGCCGAGTTCGAGGTTGCGGACCCAGCCTTTGTTCTGCTGCCGGAGGTCCCACCCGTGTCGTTCGAGGGAGTAGCCGCGGGAGGCGGCAAAGAAGAAGAGGTCCCACCCCGGGAGCATTACCCTCCAGTCGCGCGGTCTGGCCCCACCGTCTTCCCGCGGTTTCCTACCGAGGGGAGGGATGAAAGCATCACCAACTTCCCCGTGGCCTCGCAGAGGAACCGGCAGGCAGTGAGTCATGAGAAGATCGCAGACTGGGCCGAGATGCACCCTAGGCAGCTCTCCAAGCTGGCCTTGGCTCACTGCATGGTGGTAAGTGTCTGCTTCTTCCATTTTTCTCCCCCCTTTCTTTTTTTTTTCTTTTTACTTACCTTGGCTTTCTATTGGCAGCTGAACTCTGCCATCCACGCCATGGCCTATCAAACTGCTATCACTCCCAGGACGCCACCAAACAGAGGTCAAAAGTGCGGAGGCTCCAATGCGAGCTTGACCAGGCCCGGGGTGAGGTCCTCCAGGCTCAGAAGGGGAGCGAGGCCTAGGAGCTGCTCRTTAAGGACCAGGAAGCTCGGATCTCCCGATTGTCTGAGGAGAGCGTCTGTTACAGGGAGGAGTCTTCGAGGGTGACGGCGGAGAGGGAGCTTCTTCGTCAACAGGTCCAGAGCTTGGAGTCCACGCTCCACGAGCGGACCCGAAACTTCGACGCCGCGGTGGAGGAAGAGCGGACTAAGGCGGTGGAGGACTTTAAAGAGTCCCAGCAGTTCCATGACATCTAGGTCGAGTACGGCTCGAAGTCCTACCGCTCGGGGTTCAAGCTTTGCCGATGGATGGTCCGGAAGAAGTTCTTTGCCCTTAACCTTGAAGGCGTGACAATGAAGGACCTGACCCCGGAGATGACGGACACTGCAAAGAAGAAGAGGTCCCACCCCAAGAGCAGTACCCTCCGGTCGTGCGGTCCGGCCCCACCATCTTCCTGCGGTTTCCTTCCAAGGGGAGGGATGAAAGCATCACCAACTTCCTCGTGGCCTCGCGGAGGAGCCGACAGGCGATCAGTCATGAGGAGATCGCGGACTGGGCCGGGATGCACCCTAGGCAGCTCTCTAAGCTGGCCTCGACTCATTGCATGGTGGTAAGTGCCTGCTTCTTCCCTTTTTCTCCCCCCTTTCTTTTTTTTTACTTACCTCAGCTTTTTATTGGCAGTTGAACTCTGCCATCCACACCATGGCCTGTAAGACTTGCTATTCACTCTCAGGACGCCACCAAACAGAGGTCGGAAGTGCGGAGGCTCCAACGCGAGCTCGACCAGACCCGGGGTGAGGTCCTCCAGGCTCAGAAGGGGAGCGAGGCCCAGGAGCTGCTCGTTAAAGAGTCCCAACAGTTCCATGACCTCCAGGTCGAGTACGACTCRAAGTCCTACCGCTCGGGGTTCAAGCTTTGCCGATGGCTGGTCTGGAAGAAGTTCTCTGGCCTTAACATTGAAGGCGTGACAATGAAGGACCTGGTCCCAGAGACGGTAGACACTGCAGAGGAGGAGGAGCCCGACTCCCTGGAGGAGAGCGACAATGACGTAGAGGTGGTAAGACCTTGAGGCTGGTTTGCTCTTTTTTCTTCTGAATGAATGAATCTTTTAGAGTGGTTGTTCTCGAGTGGCTGAGCCCGGTTCTCTTTTTTCTTTTTGCCTTTATGGTACTCTCCCGGGCTGTTGGGCCCATTTTTTTTTTATAAGGACCTTGGTAATGTTTGTTTTTCACTTAGAATGGTTCCTTTTTTATCCAAGCATGTAGATAGGTTACCCGAGTTGCCGAGCTGGCAACAAGCAAGGGTAATTGAAGAATCGCTTCAAATTACATGAGCTACTTAAGGCGCCGAGGTCTTTCGTTAGCTCGGCATTTTAGCCCTTAGGCTGGGGGAGCGGCTTATAGTCCATTCTCCCGGAGTTCGCCCATGCCGAAGAGGCGATTGGGTCTTATAGTGCCGAGGTCTTTTGTTAGCTCGACGTATTGGCCCTTAGGCTCTGTGAGCGACTACGGTCCACCCCCTTCTAGAGTTCACCCATGCCGAAGAGGCGATTGGGTCTTATAGTACCGAGGTCTTTGTTAGTTCGGCATTTTGGCCCTTAGGCTCTAGGAGCGACTTGTAGTCCACTCAGCTCGATGATTACATGTAATATTGCCTTAAGTTGACAATATTCCATGTCCGAGGTACTTGTTTCCCTTCTAGGGTTTCGAGCTCATACATTCCTTCCCCGAGCACCCGCTTTACTCGGTAGGGTCCTTCCCAATTTGGCCCGAGCTTACCAACACTGGGCTCAGGCACCATGACTTTACAAAGAACCAGGTCTCCGACGCGGAGGTTCCTCTTCTTGACCCTGGCGTTATAGTACCGAGCTACTCTCTGCTGGTAGGTCGTGGTCCTAATG